GTCGACTGGGCTAGAGGTGAGTCCTCCTGAGGTGTGGGCGCTGCCACAGGGCTCACCTCAGACTTTCAGATGATTTTGTATTTGTTGATCTGGTTTTGATTTAGAAGTTCTTAGATTCTTTCCTTTGTATCTGCTTTCAAACTTCTGTACATAAAACATGAAGCTTGCTTAGGAAAGCCCATGTGGGGATGCAAATGCCTCTTTCTCTGACCAGTGGGTTTTGCACCTTTCTTCCCTTACAAAAAGTGCTTTCTTCAAATAAAATCTCACATTGTGCAATAATATTATAGCTAACATATTTATCGAGCACTTAGGATGTGCCTGTCATCACGCTAAATGCTTTGTGCTTTCTCATGTTGTCCTCAATGCAATGCTGTGAAGTCCTATATCATGTCACCCATTTTACAAAGGGAGAAAGTAAGGTTCACGGGTGTGACCCTCTCCAAGCTCACATAACCCGTAAGTGGCAGAGCTAGGAATGGGTTATCTGGGTGTATTCTGGCTCCTGCAGCCCAGCCTCACTGTGCTCTACTATCTTCAGAATTAAAGTGGAGGAGCACGCTTAGGGATGGAGGTGGAGACAGAAGGACTGAAGCCCCATCTTCTCAAATGTCACTTCCACTCCCTTCTCTGGTGGTCCCTGAGGAACATCTGGGAAACCCCCAAAGCCTCTCGGGAACCTCAGTTTAGAAACCTCTGCAGCTGACAAAGTATAAGCAAGATTCCAAAGCAAACGAGAGGCTGCATGTGTGTGTGGCACATTGGCTGTCAGGGGAGGGATGTGGGTCCGTGGAGGTTAAGGAAAGAACTCCAGAAAGAAAGTAGCGGCAAGACCAGGGTACTCAATGACTACCGGAGGGTTGGCTACTGGAACTCGACTGGAGAAACCATCTTTTAAAAATATCATATGCATGTGAACTACATGCAGCCTCCCCCCCAACCAACCCTCCCGCCCACTTGGATACATTTTCCAGTAGTCATCATTCTTAACTTTGAAAAAGCCACAGGCAAGGCAGGGTGAGTTCATGAAGTTCTAGAGTATTTTGCAATCTGTGACTGTCCACCCTCCAGCCTGCAGTGCAGCCAAGTCCTGCTTCAAAGAACAGGTCAGAATCCTTTGCGGCTACCACACCAGGGCACGGATTCCGCGGCGCTCTGCTCAAGCCATTTGAAGGGTTTTTGAGAACAGCTGGTTTTCCTAAATAGGCTGAGTGTTCCACCCTTCCTTCTCCCAGACATCATTTGTCTAGAAGGCACATCATTTTTTTTTTTTTTCTCCTTTTACTTCCCTACCCTCAGGTCTCAAATATCTAAGCTGCTAAAAATTCTGAACTGGGAAGCTTGAGATGGAGATCTGTTGTTATTTTTTGTTCAATATGGACAATGAAGAGAGGAGAGGGAAGGCTGTTTTTCTACCCAACAGGGAGTGGTGAGGAGTACTTGGCTAGGGAGAGCACTTCCCAAGTGCCAGGCATGTGACTAAACACTTTGTACACAAAATCTCATTCAATCTCCCCAGCTCTAGGAGGCAGAGGAAAGCATATCTCAAAAAACTGGCTGCAGGTCACATGGCTGGTAAGCGGCAGTGCCTGCCCATAAACCTGGGTGAACGGGAAGCTGCCATTGGGACAATCTTTAGGGGGGCCCAGAATTCCAGATAGTATTTCCCAGGAGGTGGGTAAGGACCTCAGGGGAGGTGTCTCAGAGCCTGCTGGCCGTGGAGCAGGGAAAGTTGGCTGAGCAGTGCCCAGAGGCAAAGCTGGCTGTCTCCTGACCCAGCCCTGGCAGAGGGGGCTTTTGCAGAAACTCCAGACAGATGCAACCTCTCTGGTGGCAACATCCTTGTTGAAAACAGACAGAAGGCCCCTCCTGCTATTCCTCCCACCTGTGGGATGCGGAGGAGAGCAGGGGCTATGAGGCTCACCTGGTGCCCAGGCAGCTCCAAGAGAGGTGTTCACTCCAGGTGAACATTTCGCACTTAACTTTGACTTTTTGGAGGTCAGAGATACTCAGCTTCCCCTGAAATCCCGAGGGCTGGTGGCTACTTGAAAGCCTGGGGGCTCCATCCCTCAGGGAGCCTTAGGAACCTGGGCCAGTCTTGAAGGATATTTTATTTTCACTGGCCGCATGCCTTAATGGGAATTTCTGTTCTCCCAATGGGTCGTGGGAAGAGAAGGCTGTGTCTTCGATATTGCCTGATGCAGGAATCACAGAAGCTTCTGGAAGGAATCCTAGCAATGACCTGGTCTAACCTTTCATGATGCTGATGGAAATACAGAAGCCTCTGGCCGGAGAGCCATGTCTGAGTATCTAAGACTTGGATGGATTTAAGGAACTCTGGCAACGCCACTGGTGATCACTTCTAACTTCATTCTTTAAAATTGTGGTAAAATATACACAATATAACACTTAACCATTTTAACTCTTTTTAGGGGTCCAGTTCAGTGGCATTAAGTACATTCACATTGTTGTGCAGTCATCGGTGCTATTCACTTCCGGAACTTATTCATTATCCCAAACTGAAACTAATCGTTGTTGTTGTTGTTTTTTTTTGACATGGAGTCTCCCCCGTTGCTCAGGCTGGAGTGCAGTGGTACACTCACAGCTCACTGCAGTTTCAACCTTCTGAGCTCAAAGGATCCTCCTGCCTCAGCTTCCCGAGTAGCTGGGACTACAGGTGCGTGCCACCACGCCCAGCTAATTTTTGTATTTTTTCATAGAGACAGGGTTTCTCCACGTTGCCCAGGCTGGTCTCAAATTCCTGACCTCAGGTGATCTGCCTGCCTTGGCCTCCCAAAGTGCTGGGATTGCAGGCAGGAGCCACTGTGCCTGCTCCCTGACCCTTTTTTTTCCTTCTCTGTCACTCAGGCTGATGTGCAGTGGCATGATTGCAGCTCACTGCAGCATCGGTCTTCCGGGCTCAAGGGATCCTCCTGCCTCAGCCTCCCAAGTAGCTAGGACTACAGGCATGTGCCACCATACCCAGCTAATTTTTAAACAATTTTTTATAGATACGAGGTCTCACTATGTTGCCCAGGCTGGTCTCCAATTCCTATGCTCAAGTGATAATCCTGCCTCGGCCTTCCAAAGTGCTAGGATTACAGGTGTGAGCCACCAAGTCCAGCTAATCCTTCAATTTTTTAAACACTTATGTGTGCGTACCAGGTACCAGACTGTGTCCTAAACACTTCCCATGTAATAACTCATTTCATTCGCATATAAGTCATTGTGTAGCATTGTGGTCATTCCCATTTTACAGATGAGAAAACTAACTGGGACATGAGAGGTTAAGATGACACAGCCAGTGTCAAAGTCAGACTTCCCATTTGGGACACACCAGGTCTTCATGACACAGAGCTGCTGCTTCACTGTCCAGGCCATTGCCTGGGGCAGGTGGTTGTGGCCCGCCCCTCCCACTGCCACCCCAACGGCTTCCCAGCAGAATAGGCAGAAAGAAGGGGCTCCCACAATGGCAGGTCTGGCTTAAGTGAGGCCTGGCATTATGCATAGGTAGAGAGAGAGCCTGGAGCTGGGCCCCACCACTGTGGGACACATAGGGAGGGCAGGGTGACTTGAAAGTTTTCATTTTCCTCCTTCGGATTTAACCTGTTAACCAAATTTCAAGGGAAGGAGATGGAGTACATTTCTCATATCTTTCTGGGAAATAAGGTGCTTCTTACACCTAAAGGAGAATTGTACAATGTATCTGTTCGATTCAAGTCCAAATGCAATGATCTAGACCTTACAGATGAGGGTAAGAGATTTCACATATGCGTGTGTGTGCACGCACGCACGTGTGTGTGTGTCCTTGTAGGGTGGGGGCAGGTGTGGGATTCCATTATGTAGGTTAGCACCTCAAGTCTGTGAGTGTGGCCTGGCCCCTGGCCCCAGAGGCAGGGGCTTCTGGTAGTGGACTTTTTGCAGCCCCTGGAGACATAGCCTCTTTTGCACACTGCCTGCCTCCGGATACTGATTCTGGACTCCTACATGGGGTTAACACTCAGCGAGGACTGACAGCTTATTTGGCACTTGCAGGACCGCCGAGCAGTGCGTGCTCCTGTCGTGCCAGCAGTCAGCCAGGTGTGCTGTGATGTGCGGTCACCCAAGCACCTCAGTGACAGAGGCCCTCAGAGGGTTTCGTGGGGCAAAGCTCGGCTGGCCTCCCTCTGGCATGGGATTTTCTCAAGGTCCCATGCTGCCTTCTCAGGTGGAGAAATCCCAGCTGACAGAGAGGAGGAAGGGTGGGGAGGGAGGCCTGGGGAACAGCGAGCGGCTCATATTTACTGAGCACTTGTTTTGTGCCAGGCTACATATTTACACCCTTTGGCTCCCTTAGTCCTTATAGTAGCTCTCATCACCCCTGGTTTAGGGAAAAAGAAATAGAAGCTCAGAGAATAATGATATATTAATATCAATAACCACAGTGTGATATCAATTATAAGATGGGTCAACTTGCATGGAGCTTAACTGTGAGGCCCAGGGCAAGTCACTTAGCCTCTCTGTATCTCAGTTTCTTCATTTATAAGATGGGGATAATAATTGTTCATCTCATCAGGTTTTGGCAAGGATGAGATGGTGCTTGGCACAAGGTTTGGTACACAGCTTGTGTTCGGTAAATGTTGACTAAAATCACCATGATCAAGCAACCACAGTATACCAGGTCCTGGGCTAAGGGCTTTCTTTCTACTACATTGTTTAAATATCGTAATAACTCTAAGAGACGTATGTTTTACTTGGTAGCAAAATGAGGCTCAGAGAGGTTAGCTGAGCCGCGCACGGCCGCAAGGCCACAGGACTAGGGAGTTTGGGGGTGAGGGTTCCAGCACCTTTTATCTGCAAGAGGTTGCCCTTCCTTCCATCCAGGAGCCCTCCAGCCCTCTGCCCTGAACTCTGGTGTTCCTAGGCCCCAGCACAACCTTGTCTTCCACCTGAGGCCAGCACCACCTCCTGCCCTAGCCCATCCTGGCTGCGCTCAGATGGGCTCCTTCAAACGTACGTACCTGTCTGATGCTCAAAGGCAGGGTAGTACTCTTCATTGCTGAACAGATCAGTCCACGACATCAAGGGATCGCAGAAGGATGCATTCGGCAGGAAGGTGCTGTGTGTCACCGAGTCCAACATCACCCTGCAACAGCAGGAGAGGTCGTGAGGAGGCTGGGGTGAGGGACTCCTGAAGCCACACTGTGCAGGAGCCCCTAGCAGGGCGATACTTGGTTTTTAAAAATGATAACAAACACGTCACTCACTAGGAGCAGGCACCCTCTAATGTCACCTACAAGTGACATTATTCCATCCTTGCCACATCCTATTCCCATTTTAGATGAGAAAACTGAGGCAAAAGGGTTGAGACAATTGCCTAACTGATATAACTGGGAAGTGGCAAAGAGGGGACTTGAGCATGGAGGCTCTGAATATGCAATACTGCCTCTTTATTTATGTTTCCTGTTTGCTCACATCTGACCCCTGAACTCTGACTTATGATGTTCAATAATATGCTTCTAGAAACAGGGTAAGATGCAGCCATAAAAAAGAACAAGATCATGCCCTGTGCAGCAACACGGATGCAGCTGGAGGCCATTATCCTAAGCAAATTAATCAGGAACAGAAAACCGTATACCTCGTATTCTCACTTAGAAGGGGGCACTAAATGTTGAGTAGTCCTGGACATAAAGATGGGAACAACAGACACTGGGGACTACCAGAGGGAGGAGGCAGGGAAGGAGGCCAAGGCTGAAAAACTAACTACTGGCTACTACCCTTGGTACCTGGGTGATGAGATCAATAGCGCCTGAAACCTCAGCATTATGCAATACGCACAGGTAACAAACCTGCACACATACCCCTTGAATCTAAACTAAAAGTTGAAATGATAAAAATAAAATAAAATTGACTTTTTTTTTAGGATGGAACCCCACTCTGTTGCCCAGGCTGAGTGCAGTGGTGCAATCTCAGCTCACTGCAACCTCTGCCTCCCAGGTTCAAGCGATCCTCCCACCTCAGCCTCCCAAGTAGCTGGGATCACAGGTGCCTGCCACCACGCCCAGCTAATTTTTGTGTTTTTAGTAGAGATGGAGTTTCACCATGTTGGCCAGGCTGGTCTCGAACTCCTGACCTCAAGTGATCTCCCCTTCTTGGCCTCCCAAAGTGCTGGGATTACAGGTGTGAGCCACAGAAACTGGCCCCCCCCAAAAAAATAAATAATAAAAACAAGGTAAGAATTACTGTGTATGATTAATCCATAATTCTGAAATCTGAAAGCTCTGAAAACTGAAAGGTGTGTGTGTGTGTTTGCTGCAATCTTATTTTCTAGCACAAAATAGTCCTGAATTGATGTTATATAGTTTTATATACTGTTTTATATATACATACTCATACATACAACATATATATGTTATACAGTTTTATTAACTATGGTATCAGTTTTATTTATTGCACTGAGTGAATATTCTTATGATGCAGTGCGGAAATATTAATGTTTTGAGCAAACCTAAACCTGAGGGGTAATCTGTACTCCACTATATATATACTATCTCGCCTTCCTAATCTGTGAAGAATTCGGAATTCTGTAGCGTGTGTGGCCCAAGGTTTTGGAGACGAGTGTGGACCTGCGCTCCTGCAACAAGCACTTTGGGCTTCATACTAAGTACTTTAGCACTTTAACTTCATTATTCCTGGTCTGCTCAGAACAACCACTCTGAGATAGGTACTGGCAAGCAGTTCCATTTCATAGAAGAGGGATGGAGGCTCTGCGATTCCGGATAACACATACAAAGCCAACGAGACTGGGTGGCGGCTCAGGTGTGTCTGTTTAAAAAGCTCATGATTCTAATTGCTGTGCTCCAGTCCCCACCCACATTGGCAGCGGCAGGGAGCTCTGGGGAAGGGTGTGTGGTTGAGGCTGGAAGGAAGGCAGAAAAGAACAGGCCTGGGGCCCCCACTTGCACACATTCTTGCCTGTGCCAGTCTCAACTTCACTGCTTCCCATATTCCCACATGCCACTCTCTGCTGAATCTCATCTCCTCACAATTCAGAAAAAATAATAATCTGTGTTTGACAGATGAAAAGAATCTGCTCACCCGAATTCTTTTTTCTGATTCTCGAAATAATGTTGAGATAGAGTAGTTCTTTCCTCATTTCGCGAAGGGAACATAGCAGCTCAAAACCACACCACTGGTAAGTGTCTTGCGATATTAAACACATGGAATTTTAAGATTGGCAGGAACGAATTCTTTATCTAGTCCAGTGTTTCCTAAACTTCAGTCATTTGCCTACGACTGTCATAAATTTCACTCAATCCATATACTATAAGCACTATTATTTACTTAAAATACTTTAAAAAATCATCAACTCCCTTTTTGTTTTAACATAAATATGGTAATTAAAAAGAAAACTTTATATCAGCACTATAAATTGGAAGTCGGGATTTTTTAAACATACATAAAAATAAATATTTAAGCATTTGAATAAAAATGGTGCATGCGCCACCTAAATCAGGGGTTAGCAAATTACATCCTACAGGCAAAATGCAGTCCCTCACCTATTTTTGTAAAGTCTGCAGTTAAAAATAATTTTACTGCTGGGCACAGTGGTTTACGACTGTAATCCTGGCACTTTGGGAGGCTGAGGCGGGTGGATCACCTGAGGTCAGGAGTTCAAGACCAGTCTTGCCAACATGGTGAAACCCCATCTGTACTAAAAATACAAACATTAGCTGGGCGTGGTGGCGCATACCTGCAATCCCAGCTACTCGGGAGAGTGAGACAGGAGAATCGCTTGAACCCAGGAGGCAGAGGTTGTAGTGAGCTGAGATTGTGCCACTGCACTCCAGCCTGAGCGACAGAGCAAGACTACGTCTCACAAAAAATAAAAAATAAAGAAATTCACATTTTTAAGTGGTTCCATTTTAAGTGGTTCTATAAATATTTACATCATATCCTTTATTTTGCCTTTTGGCTTGCTAATCCTAAAATACCTGGCCCTTTAAGAAAAAGTTTGCAACCCCTAACCAGATTCATCTGGCATATTGCCAGTTGATGCGAGTACCACGAGTACCACGTGTTGGAAAATACTGAGTCCAATTTCCCTCCTCACCTCCACCATTTTACAGTTGAGGAAGCTGAGACTCAGGGAATTTGTGTAACTAGCTCAAGGTCACATAGCTAATGGATGCCAGAGTTAAGTGGCAGGGAGGTCCTTAGTTTTCTGACTCTCAGCCCATCTGCTTCTCTTTCTGAAAACACAGTTGAGCCCAAGGCACACTTATATAGCAAATCGAACCTCAATACTAAGAGGGGCAGGACTGTGTGATTCTGAAACCAAACGTCAATTCTTTACAGATGCTTGAAAATCTCCAATCAACATCATCATCATCATCATCATCATCAAATGTGCATGAGAGGCCAGGTGCGATGGTTCATGCCTGTAATCCCAGCACTTTGGAAGGCCAAGGTGGGTGGTTCACTTGAGGTCAGGAGTTCGAGACCAGCCTGGCCAACATGGCGAAACCCCATCTCCACTAAAAATACAACAATTAGCTGGGCATGGTGGTGCACACCTGTAATCCCAGTTTCTCAGGAGGCTGAGGCATGTGAATTACTCGCACCTGGGAGGCAGAGGTTGCAGTGAGCTGAGATCGTGCCACTGCACTCCAGCCTGGGTGACAGAGCAAGACTCTGTCTCAAAATAACAACAACAACAACAACAACAACATGTGCATGAGAACTCCTCTCCAGATGTAAATATATAACCGAGTTTGAATTCTGACAGTTAGGCACCTTTTCTGGGCCATCACCTGGGAGTTTCCAGACCCTGCTGGGAAGTCTCTTCTCTGATGCCTGGAGAGGGTTAATATGCTCTGCAGATTATCGTGGGCATGGATCTCCTCCTGGGAGCCCAATCAAACAGATGTCAAGCCTGCATGGGTTTGGGCTGTGATTTTCCCACGGATTGGCTGGTTTTATATGCTGAATGTGGGGGCCAGGGAGGGGGTAGGATGCTGAGGGATGGGGTGAGAGGTTATGAGGAAGAGAAGGGCCCCAGGAGCTGAAAGCCACTTCTGCTTTCTGGACTGGACTTCAGAAAATTTCCTTTAAGTGAGGGGCTGAAGACAAATATATCCCTTTTCTTCTGGGCCAGAAGGCTCAGAAAACTAAAGAAGAGGATGGCAGGCCTGTGATATGACCTTCACTGGGCTGGGAGAAAGGAGAGCTGAATTCCGTATGGAAGAAAATAGAAAATAGTCCCCAGGTCTTTAATGTCGAATAAAGAATCCACCAAATACAAAATGTGACAATGGAAATGAGATCTTCCTCATCTATGCCTGACTAATTGCTCTCAAAAGTCATTTGGTATTTTTTTTTTTTAAAAAAAGGTCATTTGGTAAATTGAATGGAATTATATAAAAACTAGAAATATTCTTTGATCAATAGGATTTTTACCTCCTTTAATATTATTCTTTCTCCTGTTTACACCGGCCCACTCACTTGATCTGTAATCTCTCTAGTGCTCTGTGTTACACAACGCTGTATCTGATTCCCTTTGGTAATTCCTTCTAAGGCAAATTATATCCATTAAGTTTTTGTTAAGGGCCTTCTCAGATGTAAAACATGCTATTTTTCTTCTGTAATTATTTCTTGCTTTTGGAAAAATATCTCATAAAAGTAGAAAAAGGTGTTTTTTTGTTTGTTTGTTTGTTTTTTTTCCTATTACAGTAGGAGCGGGTGTTATTAACTCTGGGCTCTCCACAAAAGACCTTGGTTACTTAGCCAGCATGCAGTAGGTGTGAGAGTTCGGGAATAATGGCTGCTTTGTATTCAGCAGCCTCTCTTCTCTAGGCCCTCTAAGGTCTTTGCAATCATTGAACATTTTAGCTCTTAATGGAGGTAGAGCAGGATGGGTGGGAAAAGGCAGGTGGTCGGAGCCTCTTTTCTCAGCGGTAACACTGAGGCCCAGGGATATGCGAACACAGGTCTGAGGTTAGGCCAGGCCTGCTCAAGGAGGGGTGATATTGCCCCCCTCTTTAGGGGACAAAAATGGGTTCTTGGGGGTCAAAAAACTGAGATATTAATTACAGTGTTTTTTCACACTCCAAAGGTCTACAGTAGATGTATAGTGTATCTCTGATATTCACATTTCTGGTGGGGAGATGATTAAGAAAAAAATGACCTAAAAAGGGTCCTTAGGAGAAGTGATAAAGAAAAAAGGTGGAGAAGCGCTGTGATAGATCAACCTAGTGTCAGCGTCAGGACGGACAGCGATCTCCTGGGAGGTCTCTGGGCCTGCTGTTCTGGACACACTTTTCATTTTGTGAGGGACTAGCTGGGTCCTCATGGAAGAAGCCCTGGGCCTGGAGTTATGATTTTGCCTCTTGTCCCTCTCCAAATCTCAGTTCTTCAACTACTAAATAAGAACACAGATAAGACGGCCCCCAAGGTCTGCCCTAACTCTGTGACTTTCTGCAGACATCCATCTGATTGAGCCAACACATGCAAACCTGGGCACGCACACACAAATGCATAACATTGATTATATTGGGATTTTTTTGGTCAAGCAAGTCCACCAAATTGGAGGAAAATCCAACCGCTACACACACAGACTGAACTTTTAGTGCTGAAAAAGCCCCCTGATTTCCTCTTCTCCCTTTTCTCCTGTGCCCACTGCCTTCTACCCCAGTAGGATGTAGATACCTCAGGACAGCTGGACATTCTTTGCCCAGGCTAGCTGGGTACCCTACACACTCTGGACCCTCACTCACTGCCCACCAATAGATCAATGGAAGTTGGAATCAGTTTTCCCCAAATGTAGTCATCGTGCTAGCTGCCTAGTAAGTAGGAAAGGCTCAAGAATGATTAACACAAGGTGGAGGAATCAGGTGGGCTCACTTCACACGTGAGAAAGTGGGCCGCAGGTACCTGTGGGAGTGAGGCAGCGATGGCATGGAAGCTGGGGTCCCCGGATGCCTCCAGTGGCTTCTGAACCCTTCTCAGAGCCGGCTCACACACCAAATGCACACAGAGAGCGTCCACCCAGTCGGAGACACAGGCCTGTGGGCTTCTCAGCGTTACACATTCAGAGGCAGCAATAACAGGTGTGGCGCCATGGCCTGAACAACCTGGCACCCCTGCTCAGCCTCCCAGAGAGAGGGGAAGGAGCAAACCACTCAGCCTTGGCCAGTTTGCCAGAGGAGGAAAATTCCTTCCTGACTGTGGTGGTGATCATCAACTTCACTCTGGGCATGTGACGAAAAATGGACCCAATTAAACGTCTACACATTGGCAGTTTACGGGCCAAATCGTCACTAGGCAGAAAAAGGCCATAGGGTGCAAAATATAGAAAAAAAGGGGCCAAGAAAGGGCTTCCTCAATCCCACCCTCTGAGTGGTCTCATCGGGAAGAAAATTGGTTTTCCTTCCCCAAAGCCTCAGTGACACCCAAATATCCACTCTGTCCTAAGCCTTGTGAGCAAGGGAGGGTCGATTTCCCAGCCCTTGGACCTCCCTAAGAAGGGGCCCATTGAGGAGAACCCAGTGGAGTATTTCAACACTTACTGCTAAAGAAAGATTGAGGGTTGGGTGCTTGAGTGTTTGTTCTTCTGGGAGGAACCCAGCAGCTGTGAGAACCAATTTGCTGACCTCTTGTTAAGTGATTTCTCATCTTTCTTTAGCTTGCATAGGGAGTTTGCATGTTCGTTTGTTTATAGCTGTTTTTCTGTTTATAGCTGTTTTTCTGAAGGTGCAGTGAAGATCCAAAAAGGTATGCCATGTAGTTTGCTGTGGGCTTCGATGCAAAGCTTATCAGTTTTGGATTAAATACATCAGGGGTTAAATCCTACCTCTGCTGTCGCGAACGTGCGGCACATTTACTACCCAGCCTGCTGAAATTCTTAAGCTTTTTTTTTTCATATAGATGTAGTATATAAATATTCATGCCCCTCTTTGACCTCCGGTTTCTTCATCTTTAAAATAGGGATTTTTTTTTTTTTTTTTAAATCATGCAATCCAATACATGCAAAGGACGGGGCATAACACATATATTCAATCCTGTTTTAGAGGGAAAAATCAGCCATCAACAATGTATGTAAAAATTTGCCACTCTGGTGACTTCTGAAAAAGGAGAACGACCAAACTGAAAACTCTGGCCCGAGAATACCTTAGATTATCAAAAACAGTGTCACAGAGAACACGAAGACAAAAGAATCAAGCGTTCACTTGGACGGGCAAACCACCCCTTTCCCCGGGTCTCTGAACTAGCCTGAAACACAGAGCTGCCTCCCTAAGTCATCTAGCCTTTCTGGCCTCAGTTTCCTCATCTGTAACATGAAGCGATTGCACCTAATGATGTCTGACACACTTTCGGGCATACAAAAGACTCATCCATCCACACGCGGGCCCGGCTCCAGCCTGAGGCGAGAGCTTGTGCTACCTGCGGCTGTCAGCAGGGGGCACCCCCACAGAAATCCCACACACTGCAGAGTCTGACAAGGCCTGAGAACACAGTGGAAAAACCCTAACCATTGCTTTTCTGGAAGCATTCTCTTCTGGGGAGATGTCAGAGGGCCAATGGGTTTCTTTTAAAACTATTTTGTTCAAATTCCTGAAAATGCCCCATACTATAATAAGGCAGTTCCCTGCATCGAGGGGTGGGGGACCGTGGGCAGGCCGGTGGGGAAAGGAATTCAGTCAGGGGAGAAGGGTAGGTGGGGGCTTTCCTTGAAGCTGAATATTTTTCTGTGTAAAATCCAGCTTCCCTTCCTAAAGAAGCTTTAGGGTGGATAGAGAACTGAGTGCCTGGGCACGTTCTCTTAATTCCCCTTGGTTCAGCTAAGAGATCCTGAGGGAGTGGGGGCTGTGAGGAGGGTGGGTGGCCGCACGGCCTGCGGAGGCAAACAGGTCTCTCTCAGGCAAGCCATCACATCTGTGTCAAACAGCTCCCGGGAGGCCCTGGGACTGCACCCAGCGCAGATGCCGGCCCTGGAGCTGCAGATGGACGAGCAGACCCAGGCCCCAGGCCGAGCCTCTGAGACCTGACACCCCTTACGATTCATCCAAAAAAGCAAAGAAAAGGCGCTTACGTGAGGGCAGCGGTGGCTAGGTCCAAAGAAGAGGCTTTCAAGGCAAGAGAAGGCAGGCGCTCCCAGCACCAGCGTACAGTGGAAATAAAGCACCTGTAGCCTTGTGATATAAGTGACACCTACAGACAGGTCCGTTTGGTTTTTCAGGTTTATGCACAGCCCCTTTGATGACGGTGACATACAGTGTGACACGGCTCCTTGGAAGGGGGGGAAATGGTTCTCATATGCAGAAAGTTTACCTTTATCCTGCTTTTGTGCCAACTCACCCCTGCCCTGCAACCCCCCACTCCCAGCCTAGGGGACTCAGTAAACAAGCAGAAAATTCTTGTCCCTGGGAGCTGTGCGGGATCGTGCGTTTGCTGAGGAATTTTCCTCTGTGCAAGCTGGAGGGGAAACGCAGTTTCCACCCTGGTGCCGGTCTACACTGCCTCTCTCCCAGGCTGCCTGAGTGCAGTGCTTTTGTAAGATCATGTCTTTCTCCGTTTTTCCCATGTGGTGAGAAGGAAGAGCATTATAGGGCCGGTGTTAAGACCTTAGGTTTTGTAGCTAGTTGCCTTTGGATTCAAATTCTGCGTCCATCATTTCCTAGCTGTGCTACCTAGAAAAATGTAGCGAACATCCCTGGGCTTCATGAGTCTAATGTAAGTGATGGGGCCTCTCCTCATGGCTACTATGAGATTCAGAGGAGGCCAGGCAAGCCCTCCGTTAGCTATGATGACTGCAGCATTTTCCTTGATAGGGCACGTTCACCAGGACTCCCCCATGCTATTTCTTCCAACCTACACCTTCCAACCAGGTGAAGGGAATAGGCAGCTTGGAGAACTACTTTAGGGCCTTTTCTTCCACTTTTTCTCCCTAAGCACCATCAGGGCATCAGACACATTAACTTATTAAACTTCTAACACTTGGATGTAATGAGCCGTGCAGCAGCTTCCTCCCTTTCCCCTCCTCTGTTTCACAGGCAGAGAAATGAAGAGGCTTAGTGGCCCAGTCAGGTGTCCAAAGCTAATAGGCCAGGGGGCCTGTTGTGGATGCCAGCTCTCAGGTGTCTCGCTGAGAACTGACTGCTTTTTAGTACTTCTCGGTGACAACAGAAACTGCCTAATTTAGGCTATGAAGCAGTGTCCCAGGTCATCTATGAGACAGGTATTTATAATCCTGTGCCTTTTTGCATTCTGCTTCTAGCCATCTTGGGCAGCTGCGATGTTGTATTCAAATGGCAGACTCCAAGTTTTAAAGCGAAAGCAGGGACTGGTTTGTTAGGTTTTCCTGGGATCACCGGGCATGGGTACAAACACACAAATACAAATACACATAGTCTGCAGAAACAAAAGGCAGTTCATGAGAGGCTACGGGGTGTCATCATGGAAAAATTGTTGAAGAAAGATAGGTGACTGCCTAGGCCCCTATCTTGGCTGGATAACCTGAACTTCTCTGGTCTTCATTTTCCCCCAGTGGCAAAAGGAGGAAGTGGGATTAAAATAGTGATTTTTTCAAACTGCGACTTGAGGAACCCTGGGGGTTCCCCGGAGCCCTTACAATGACTTTTGTGGGTGAGAGGATGGGAGTGGAGTAGAGTGGGTTAGGCTGTAGACCACCCTGTTCCTTCCTGACTCAATACGAGCATCTCAGCTTTTATATAAATCTTCTGGGTAAGATTTCATTTGAACAAAAGAATCTGCCCTTAGAAAGGATTTGCAAGTAACTGGATTACATGGTCTTTGGGCTTCTTTTACGCTTCAAAATTCTGTACTTCTCTTCCTCTTTGGTTCCCAGGGGACAGTGGACTGTGATAGTCCTACACACTATGTTTTCCATGGTTGGGCACTGGCCTAGCTTGTCACTGGTTTCTGAAATGTTACCAATGTTTCTTTCTGAACATATACATTCTTCTCAGTGGAGAGGTTTTTAGGGAAAATATGTTATTCTGATACTGTTTTTAGAAAAGAGTCTTTTGGGCTGGGTGCAGTGGTTTATGCATGTAATCCTAGCACTTTGGGAGGCCAAGGTGGGCAGATCATGAGGTCAGGAGTTTGAGACCAGCCTGGCCAACATGGTGAAACCCCATCTCTACTAAAAATGCAAAAATTAGCCAGGCGTGGTGGTGCATGCCTGTAATCCCAGCTACTCAGGAGGCTGAGGCAGCAGAATCGCTTGAACCCGGGAGGCGGAGGTTGCAGTGAGCCAAGATCGTGCCATTGCACTCCAACCCGGGCAACAGAATGAGACTCCATCTCAAAAAAATAAAAAATAAAAAAATAAAAATAAAAAAAGTAAAGAGTCTTTTGGAGAAATTATGTATTTTTTTTTTCTGTACTCTCTTGGCTCAATTTTTTTTTTTCCCAGGGGCTGTGGCTGCCCAACTGACTCAATTATTTGAGTGCAAAAGTCTTCTGACAATGGATGTATAAGACCATGAACTCTGTCTCATGGTCCCAAATGTATAATATAGCATTTCTGGGTGCCTGTGTGTGAAATTACAGGCTTCTGGACCAGTGGATAAAAGGGATGATTAAGATAAACCCAAAATAAAAGAGGAATTTGACTCTAATTAAGTTTAACTATCACTTTAAACTTAAATTTGATTGGAGTGGAGATCTTGGATGATATTGAACACGAAGCATCTAAGGACTGCATTATGAGTGTTGAATGACAACAAGAATGGGGATTGGGGATGGAAGAGGAAGGTAAAAAAGGACTAGGGTGTGGGGAGGCGGGCAGAAGAAGGAATGAGACATTTTAGAACTCCCAGCCTATCCTGCTTCTGGTGTCCTGGCCATACAGCAATATTAAGTAACACTAATTGGGCTTATAATTGTAACATCGTGGCTAAGAAAACAGATTCTGGAAGGAGACTTCCTAAGTTTGACTCTCTGATCTGCCATTTGCTGTCTGGGTGGGTCTGGGAAGCCTGTTGAACATCTCTGCATCCCAGTTGCCTCATCTGTAAAATGGGGAAAAAGGATTACATTTCTTGTAGGGTGTGAATTAAATGAGTGAAAACTTGGGGAGTAGAGGGAGCCCTAACTAAGTGTGGCTTATCTACATTTTAACCTGTTACATTCTTCACATTAAATTTTCATACATTTTTGACAAGGAAGTTACTGATCATCTCTAATTTACAGATGAGGAAACTGAGGCACAGAGAGGTTAAGTAGAGAGGTTCATGGTTACACAGCTAAGTGGTAGAGCAAGTATTTTAGTCTAGGCTGCCTGCCTCTGGAGCCCATCCTCTTAACTGCTGTGCTAACCAGTTTCTGGGTGCTCCTGGGGCAGTTCTTTGGGAATAGGGAGGAGAGAATCACACCTAAAGAGCATCTATGATGTACCAAGTATTGTGCTAGGATGACTCACCTGTATTTCCTTGGTTATTTTTCACAATTATCGTGGAAGGTAGCTATCACTACTTTCTTTTTTAAGACAGAGAAACAGAGGTGCCATGATTGCTGGGGCTCACCCAGTTGGTCAGTGGCCAAATCTGTGTTGAACTCAGGCCTGACCAATGTTAAAGGGAAGCTGTGGAAACAGCAGCTTAAGTTGGCCTCTCTTCTTTAGCTCTGGACTCACACCGGCCTAAAAGGTGGTCCATCCCTCTCTATTGGCTCAAGATTTCTAGGATTCCTGGTTATTGCTGGCACAATCTGTCTGTTATTATACGGTGGAAATTCTGGTACCTTACTGAATCTGGTGCCTAGTATGGTTCTTGGGATCAAGAATGCACTCAATACTTACATGGATCGTAAAATCACGTGTCTTAAAGGGCATGCCATCTGACAGAGGCTGGAGGCTCCCATCCTATTCTTTTCACTACATATAACAGGCTTCACATCTCAGCTGCTTTTCCTAGAACCTGCTCTTTAATCAAGGTCAACATTTCTTTGTCATTTATTTTTCCCCTCAACCTGCCATCTTCACTACCGACCCAAGAGGCAGCACAGGCTGAAAACAAAAGTGAGTTAGAGAAACAAGTTTAGGTAAATTCATAGATAATGCCATTATAAGGAGAGATTTATAGTGTGATGGTGAAACGCACTGGCTTTGGATTAGACCCCTGTCACTATGATTCTCACTTACTATTTTTAGAAAAGAGTCTGTTGGAGAAAATGCAATTTTCTATATTAGCTATATTGGCTCAAATATTTCAGAACAAAAAGATTTCTGTCAGTGGGTGTATATGACAACAAACTCCTAGCACCTGCCATCTGGGAGACATTAGATGAGCTATCAGCTTTTCAGGGTCACAATTTCCTCACCAGTGAAGTACCTACTATGATTCTTGGTGCATGGTAAGTTTCAATAAACGGCAGTTATTGTAATGGGCTATAGAGAGAGACACAGATATTGGTTGAGAGCCCCAATCTTTGGGCATTACCATAATAAGTAGGATAATGTTGCCCTTCCTCTTCCACAATGAATAATCATAATAGCTACCATTTGCTGAGCATTTACTGGATGCCAAGAACTGTCTAGGCATGCTACAAGTATTAAGTCATTTAATCTTTACATCATTCCTTGGAGGTAGGTACCATTATTATCACCTAAAATTTACTGATGAGGAAACAGGGATAGAGAGTTGAAGTAACTTGCCCAATATCACATAGCACGTGGAACACAAAGCAGGACTGGAGCCTCTGCAGGATACACCAATACACCATATATGGAACCTATGCACCAGACTCCACAAGCTTTACCATTACCCTACCATTTGGTACCTCTCCAGGAGGCACAATCTAGGTTGAAGAGATACCAATTTTCTTAGACATCCCAAATTACTGGTCGGATCCTTGAAAGCAAGGACAAAAGTTGTAAATATTTTGTCCCCCAAAATGCCTTGCACAGACTCATGCAGAAGTTGGTGCTTAAGCAATTTTCATTGGTTGATTGTCAATTGGTTGATTGATTGGTCAGATTTCTTTCTTTGCTTTGTTTCCTCTTTGGGTGTTTTCCCCTCATCCTCCTACATCCAGCTCACTCTTTAGCTGTT